GTTCAAGTCTTGGTTCCTGTCCTAACGGGTGCACCACAAACCCCACTGTGAGACTACGGTCAACTGCGGCAGAAACCTGGCACTGACCACTTGGCCCGACTTCCCCTCTGTATTAATAATGACCTCTCAGGCTCGCTGAAGGAGTCCTAAATGATGGGCGGCTCATTGCAAGGTCAGCAGTTCAAAACCACCAGGCACTCCTCAGGAGAGAGTGCTTTCTACCCCTGTAAAACGTTAAGTCTCAGAAACCTGCAGGGGCAGTTCTGCCCTGCCCTAGTCAGTGGCCATTGGCTCGATGGCAGTGAGTTTGTTTTTATTGGTTCTGGAAGGTCCACTGAGCAGGGCTTTCTTGGGCTCCAGTGAGTGGAAGGCCACCCCAGGAGGACTGGATGTCCATGGAACAGTCTATGGGAAGTCACTGCCCACTGGCATTTATTCCTGTCACACTGCACTGAGCAGCTCTGGGTCCAGCCCTGCAGATACAACACCGAGAAGCCAGGTCTTCCCTTGTCAGCAGTTCACATCCCTTTAGGAGACAGATGCAGAGCTGGTTAGGTTACAGCATCGGTGCTAGACAGATGGAGCGCCAGGGGAGAGGATATCAAAAGATCGGAGGTGGGGGAAGCTCCCTGGAACCCAGTTCCCTGGAATCATTGAAAGATAAGAAGTTACATGAGTGCGGGGAAGGTTCCAGGCAGAGGACATTACAGGGTGTGAATGAACGTGTCAGAACCACAGGTGTCCCGTGGATGAGCCTGGATTAAACAGAAGGGGTTTGCGCAGAGAGCAATGAGGGCAAGACCAGACACCAGCCTCCTCAGTCATTGCGTCCAGCCCTGCCTTCTCCTGAGCCACCACCAGGGGGCTGATTGCATCCTCTGTCTGTGCCTCCAGTGTCCACGACTTGGGCCACTTGTTCAGGGGCTGACCCTGAGCCCCCGACCTTCAGGTTCCCATTCCCAAGAACCTCTCTTGTTTGCCTTTCGTTGTTTCTTTAATATTAATTTCACATGTCCTAATTCCACGTTTCACAGGGGCACAATTTGGTGACATCAATGAATGGTGCTGTGCAACCATCCCTCGAAGCCACTGCCTTTGTATCCGCCTCACCGGCATGCCGAGGACAGAGCGGGCTTGCCCCTTGGATTTCGGGGCTGTCAGTCTTGTTCGGAGTCTGACTTGGGTCATGGCAACCAGGACTTTTAGATCTTAGGTAGTAGCTCTTTTTGGTGGGCGCCCTGGTAGCTACACACTGGGTTACAATCCGCAAGGTCAGGAGTTTGAAGTCACCAGGTGTTCTGTGGAAGAAAGGTGGGGTTTCTACTCCCACAAAGTGTTACAATCTCAGAAATGCACAGGGGCAGCTCTACCCCGTCCTATAGAGTCACTATGTAGGTTTGTTTATTTGTTTTGGGTAGATTTCCCAGTTCCCCGGGCAAGCCTGAGGGCAAAAGTAGGCTTTCTGGAGATGTCATTTACTTTCAAACACCGCCCCCCCTTCGAGCAAAGCTGTCCTCTCTAGTTTGCTGGGGACGGTGTGAGCATCATTCGCCAGTGTTGTGGGTGTAATGGGTCAGAAAGCACTCAGGTCACGACGAAATGGAGCTAGGGAGCCCCTGCAGGCACCCCAGCCGTCTGCGGCTTGATTTAGGGCTGAAGCACTGATACAGCCGTCAGCATCAGCGATCATCCCACACTGCTTTCTGTTTCTTATGTCCCTGGAGGCTCGGGGAGTCCGTTCCGATTGCGGACTCCATTTTCAAAAGCGGACTCTACTTTCTTTTTTTTTTTAATTGTTTTATTAGGGGCTTATACAACTCTTATCACAAGACATACATACATCAATTGTGCAAAGCACATTTGTACATTTATTGCCTTCATCATTCTCAAAACATTTGCTCTCCACTTAAACCCCCGACATTAGGTCCTCATTTTTCCCCTCCCTCCCTCCCTGTTCCCCCTCCCTCAGGAGCCCTTGATAGTTTATAAATTGTTATTTTGTCATATCTTGCCCTGTCTGACGTCACCCTTCACCCACTTTTCTGTTGTCCGTCCCCCAGGGAGGAGGTCACATATAGTTCCTTGTCATCCGTTCCCTCTTTCCTACCCACTCTCCCTTCACCCTCCCTGTTTTGCCACTCACACCACTGGTCCTATAGGGCTCATCCATCCTGGATTCCCTGTATTTTCAGTTCCTATCTGTACCAGTGTACATCCTCTGGTCTAGCCAGACTTGCAAGGTCGAATTCGAGTCATGGTAGTGGGAGCGGGGAGGAAACATTTAGCAACTAGAGGAAAGTTGTATTTCTCATGAAAGTCGTATTTCTCATGAAAGTTGTACTTCTCATGAAAGTTGTATTTCTCATTGTTGCTACATCGCACCCTGACTGGCTCCTCTCCTCCCGGAGAGTGGACTCCACTTTCAAGGACGACAGTGCCACTCCCCAGCTCACCCTGAGAAACAGAGGAACCTGGGTTTCCACAGCCACTTTCATCCCTCCCTGCTTCTGCCCAGGTGTCAGCAGGAACGGGGAATGGGGGATGGGGCGGGGGAGGAGCCCTCGGCCAGCATGATGGGACAGGGGCAGAGCTGAGTCCTGATGGGCTGTGGTGTCCTGTGGGCATGTGAGAAGAAGTTTCCCAGGGGGTCGTTGAGTACACCCACTGTACAGCCTGACATATCTGGGCTCCAGCACCGCCATATACTAGCTGTGACACCCACTCCAAGCTGCCCAGCCTCTCCGAGCTTCATGTCCTGTATCAGGTGTGTGTGTGTGGGGGGGTAGTCCCAGGGTCTCCTTGGAGGGCTACAGGGAGGTGGCTCGGCACCCATCAGAGGCACACACCCAAACCCACCCCCACCCCCGCCACCTGACATGAGCATTTGCTTCCATTTTGCTGTTTAGTCTCTTGTACTAGGTAACTAGTGGTGCCAGCTGGGCCCTTGTGACTCACAAGCCCCACCCAGTCACCCAGTGAAGGTCACTTAGGCGTGACCGATGAGCCCACTCATTCCTATGTTTCAAGCACCCAAGAACCATCCATCCAGGATTGCCAGCAACTATAACTGGGTATGGGGCAGGGTGTGGCGCTGCCCACCAACCTCATGCCTGGCACGGCATGGCAGAGCTAGCTCTCCCCCCAACGCCATCCTCAGCTGTCCTCAGCTGCAGGAAGAACCCCTAGTGGCGAAGGCATTGGGGGAAACCCGGACCCTCCTTAACTCTGCTTGTCCTGTTC